ATACTCTTTAGTATATATTCACTCCTGGATGTAAAATAATATATAGAAAAGGAATTCTGAATCACATTTAGTGTTACATTTTAGATCACCACAATAGGATATCCACGATTTAGGATTCAGGCGTTTGTTTTAGTTCGATATCACAATCATTGAGTAGTTTACAGAACCAGCAGTTAGCAGCAATAACTTCAGCTGCTTCAATTCATTGACATTTACAAGCATTCCTTTATACACAGCATTTAAGTCAGGTTGAGGTCTGGAGATTTGCTGCTGTGCTTGGGGTCATTATCCTTTTGCATGGCCTAATTTATAAGAAGCTTTAGCTGACACACAGATGGCCTCACATTTGACTCTAGAAAACTTTTAGAAACGGATTGTTTGGCAGTGACAAAAAGGTGTTATGTAATTGATGCTTCCTTCCTTGTGAAAGTGGGTTCCACTGGACCTGCGTCTGTGAACCATCTATTGAGGGTTTTTTTTTTCCTTTGCCTGTGTGTAAGGATCAACCACCAAAGTCTCAGATCTGTTGCATTTAATTTTATGTTCTTTGTAAGAATATTAAGAAAATAGTCAGAATGCTGAATTCTCTGCTATCTAACATGCTGCTCAGTGTCCTTTGCTGCCTGCTTTTAAATCAGATGTCACTCTGAACATAAACACAAGCTACATGCAATGACTCTGATGTGTATCTGTTTCTACCCGTGCTGATGCTAGCATGACTAAAGTTAGCCAAGCAGCAGTAAATATGTGAAGCAAGGCAGAAGGATATACTCATCAAATGAACAGGATCATAAGAATATAAGACCACAAGCACTACAAATGTAACAAAAATATGTTGACATAAAATGGCATGTTATTTGAAATCTACATGAAACAATGACACAACTACTTTTTCCAATTTATTTATTTATTTTTACCAAAATTTTTACCATTTATTTGTCCAAATTAGTCTGTGATTGGCTTTAGTGTCCCAGAAATCATATTTATATACAACTAAATATTACTCAGCAAACATGTTTTAAATGGATGATTCTTCATCCATTTAAATATTTGCTGAGTCCTAAATTTGATGTCAATGAGTTTATCAGTGGTTGGTGTTAAAAAAAAATCCCCCAAATCCCCCATGAGCAAGCACTTGGCGACAGTGGAGAGGAAAAACTCCCTCTTAATAGGGAGAAACCTCTGACAGAACCGGGCTCAGGAAGGGGTGGCCTTCTGTCTCGACCGAGTGGGGTTCAAATGTTCACTGACAATTTGGTTGTATATAAATATGATTTTTAGAACGTGATGTTGAGACCAATTAGGTGAACTTGGGGACGCAGCCAGTTCCGCTTCTTCTTCTTCTTCTTACTTGGCGGAATCTCTAGCAAGCTCTTAACTTCAGTCTCGAGTTCAGCCACCTTCACAGTGAACATTTTCTGCTTGTCTCGTAGACTTTGCAAAGATTCCTGCACAGACAATGCAGGCGAGTCCTCTTTTTCTTCTTTTTCTTGTTGTCTGGTGTCTTTTTCTTTCAGAGGCTCCTGCAGAGACATTGCAGTGGATGGCAGTGAGTCCTCTTTTTCCATCTTCTCTCCTCCAGCGTGTTTTTCTTTCAGAGGCTCAGATGTTTGCATTTCATTTGCATCGGTGGAATTTTGTTCTTCCGGCTCCTGTGTGATTTTAAGTGAGGAAGCTTTGGCCTTTTTCAGCATTTGTCCAAGAGACTCAACCTTCAAATCATGAAGGGCCTTGTTGGGGCAGAGCTGAGATTTCAGGCCACTGATTTCCAGGTTGAGTGTCTCCTGCTCCTGCGTATGTTTAACGGCCTGCTCTTCAAGCTGATTTTGAGCTGCTAGGAGCTGTTTCTGGAGCATCTCAATCTGCTCTTGCTGAATCCTACATTGGACCTCAAATTCAGCCTCCTTAGAGGACATCAGTCCTACAGAGTCCGTGTGTGAAGCCTCTGTGGTTGGAGTGGCAGACTCCACACACTGCTCTGTGGTAGGGTGGCTGATTTGGTCCTGCAGGGTAACCATCACCTCATCCAGTATGACAATAGCTTCATTGTCATTTGTGAGAGTGTCTGTCTCACTGATGTCATTGGGCTTATTACTAGAAGCCTCCTCCAGCTGCTCTATGAGGTCTTTAATCGTTTCCTAATGATTCCTGTTGTTGTCCTTCATTTGTGCATGAAGGTTGTTCACCTGAAACTGGTGATAAGAGGCTCTCTTGTTTGCAGCTACCATTTTCCAGTAAAGGTAGTTCTGATGATATTGGGAGGCTTCCAGTTGCTGTCTGAGAGCAGCAATCTCGTACCAGGGATTAAACTGGACACTGCCCTGATGGGGTCTAAATGTGGGATTGGGTTGATATTGCCAAGTCCCTCGATTAGGCCCAGGGTTTGGTGTGCTGGGGTCATTCACATTTCCCTCTCTCTCCATATTCATGTCCTCCTTTGCATTTGAAATGGTGAGGGATTCAGTTTTTTCCCTTTCAGAAGTGGCTTCAGTGTTTTCTTGCATTTCTTCATTTTTCGGGTTTGCTCCATCACCTATGCTGTTTTGAGCTTCAAGAAGAGTCCGGGCATATGCCCGAGTAATTGGTCTTCTTGGTTCTTCAGCCACTCTTTTCTGTTTTTGCTTTTTTTGTTTCTTTGGTTTCACAACCATTTCCTTTTGTGGTTGTGCCACAGGAGACTTTTCAGGATTTGGTTGTGCGGCTTTTTCAAGCTCAGGTTTTGGCGTTTGCACGATTGTTATTTTTGGTGTGATGACCATTTCTATTTTTGCTTCTGCCATTGTAGATGCGTCAGCGTTTGCGTTTCTCTGCGTTTGCCTTGTCTTTTTTTTAACAACCAGGTTGTTTTGTGTTTCTGCCATCCGAGATCCACTAAAGTTGGTTGAATGTCTCCCCTATTTAAGGGTTTTTCCAATCAAGTTCCATGATTGGAACAATTCAAAATAAAATGCCCACAAACCTACTGTAAAGGAAAGGCTTTTATTTTGTAGCACATACTGAATCAACACTATAACCGCTACTCTAAAGGAATTGCAGTAAAAAATAAAACAAAAGCAAAATATAAGTTTTTTAAAAATGGCTGTTAAAAAAAAAATAACCAAAGTAGAAGGTGACTGTTTAGTGGAAATGTATTCGACATTTGCCAGATTCTCAGGCATAATAACTTCTTTCATAATCTAAACAAGGACAGGTAGAAAATGTTCATATTTAGTGAAATATATTTATTAACACTATCCAATGAGAGTTACTGAATGTCTGTAGGCAGTGAGATCTTGTTGGTTGCCGAGGCGACAATGTTATCTATGTTTTGTTTTAAATTCAGTTTCATTGCTGAATCTAAGAAACAACAGGCTGCAGAGGGAGACTTTAATGGAGGTTTACTAACTCTTACTATCATATCCATTGTGGAAAAATCTGTCTATATTTAGCATAATATATTTGAACAATCCAAGTATGCAAACTTAAATTGACAGGAGAGCTTATTCAATTCAATTCAATTCAATTCAATTTATATAGCGCCAAATCACAACAAAAGTCGCCTCAAGGCGCTTCATAGATACAGAGAAAAACACAACAATCATATGAGCCCCTATGAGCAAGCACTTTGGC